ATCCCTGTGCTGGGAGAACCGCATCCCTGGCCCCGGGGACCCGCAGCCCCCGGCCCCGAGCTGCCTGCCTACCCGCGACCCTCCCGGGCTGCAGGGGCAGCCCCCGGTGCTAATTAGCAGGGGGCAGGATGAGCCGCAGCCCGAGCAGGGCTCCCCGCGCTCGGGCAGCCCCGGGGAGCAGCGGGGCCGGGGGGCAGCGGCAGGAATTGTTTTGCAAACAGAGGGGGTGATATATGACAGCGCAGACACAACAAGCAGCCCGTGGCTGCGGCTGTTTGTTGTTGCAGCGTGCCATATAACTTCTGGTGATTGTTACTTTTCCTCTGATGAAACCACGTATTTATAAGTGATTTATTTTTTATTTTGTAGCACAAACAGAAATCCATAAACTGTCGGTTCAGCGCCATTGACTCTTTGATCAGTTACTGGGCTGTTTATTTTTTTTTTCCCTCCCGTCAGCGAGGGGAGATGAAAAGCCTTTATTTCCAGCACCCTTTTCTGCTGCAAAGGTGCGGGGCCGAAATGAACAATAAAAGCTGCTTAAAACGCATCCCCTTCTCTCCTTTATTCACCGGTAACGAAACTTAGAGCTGCCCTATGGAAGCCTCTTAATTAGAGAGCTACAGCGATTTCCGAAAACATTTAGCTGCTCTATACAAAGGAAATAAACCCACATTGTCAACTCGAGAGCGCTCCAGAGTTTAAAAGGGGCTCCTCTGTAACCTATTGAAATAATTATTGAAGGGTACAACGCCTTCGTCTTTGTCAGCGTAATTGTCCCTCGCCTGTCAGCTCTGCTTTTCTCCGGGAGGAAATCACAGGATTTGGCTCCTGGAGGCGTTTAGATCCGAGCCGATTTTAGGCAAGAAAAGTAGAAAGTTTCCGAGGGGTGAGAGCGGGGAGAGCGGCCGTGCCCGGGGCCGCTCCAGCCCTGCTCCAGCCCGGCTTTATTCCCTGCTCCAGCCCTGCTCCATCCCGGCTTTATCCCGGCTTTATTCCCTGCTCCAGCCCTGCTCCAGCCCGGCTTTATCCCTGCTCCAGCCCTGCTCCATCCCGGCTTTATCCC